ATCAATATTGACTCCCAAAGGCTGATGGGATTCTTCAATATTGTTGTTATTCTTAGTACTATTAGTTAAAGTAATGGATCCGAGGATCCTGGATCTGCGCACTTTCCACTGTGCTCTTAAGACCCTCCTATTCCAGCAAGCCGGCCTGGCCTAATTTTCTCCCCTGTTTTAAAATTCTTTTAAATCGAAATTTTAATCTGTTTTAAATTATTGGGATTTTTAATTGTCTCGGGCTAAATTATTTAATCTGGTTTTAATTATGTTTCTAACTTTTGTATCTATGTATTTTATTTTGTGCCTGTTCACCGCCCTGAGTCCTTCGGGAGTAGGGCGGTATATAAATTTAATAAAAACAAAAACAAACAAAACAAACAAATGCTTATTATTTTCCTAAAATAAAAGGTCAGTGGACAACCTGAAACTTCATGAAGCAGTTGATGAGCTGAAGAGTTTTGGGATTCCTGGGTTATGCAATCCTTGCACATCCTTATTCTGTGCAGTGGTGTATACCCTTATAGGAAAGCCCAAGACCTTTATGACTATGCAGCTACTCTATTTTTTGCCATTTTATTAAAGTCACAAAACTTGCTGCGAGTAGCAAGACTTTAAAAATGTTTCTTGATTACAGCTTTTTAAATCTCAGGTTGTACCCTGTCCCCGTGCAGGAATTCAAGGTATGATTGTCCTATTTCATGCTCATGAACAAAGCTGCCTATCTGGAAGAGAAGATTTTCATTATGGTAGACAATGCATGACAAAGTTTAGGCTCAAATATTCTGATTTAATTTGAAGTTCCTTGCAAGTGCCATTTGGAAATGTCATTTTTCTTTTACAGTCACAGAACGCTCCCTGACTAGTTTCACTCTGTGTGAAATCATATAGCAATAAAATATCATGACTGATTCCTCACAGTAATTTGTACTTGTTCAGAGGAGCCAATGTGTCTTGTTCCCTATTACAATTTGTCATTCTGAAACAAGTGGAGGCATAACATAAGTGGGAAGGCTGGAAGTTGCCATCAGATGTGTGAAATTCAACTTCCAGAATTCCCCAGATCAGCCTGACTGTTGCTGAAAATTCTGGGAATTAGCCTACACATCTGAAGGACATCAAGATTTGAGAATACTACCTGAGCCTAGCCCTTGCCCCCAAAGGTTACTGGAGGAATAAAATGTGTACTGGGGAAGGGTGGGCATGGTGCCTTGAATTCTTGGAAGTATTGCAGGATATAAAATTTGGCAGTCTGTGCACTCAGGAGTCAGCAATAACTTAAAGACCAGAAAAAAACAGGAATGTCAAATTCACCATCTGATAGACATAGATGTATGATGGCTCGATTAGTGTCCTTCTAACTTCTATGGATGCTTATTCCTTCTACTGCAGAAGAATTCAGTGGATTAGTTTCTGGTATTCTTAGACCTGAGAATATGTAGACCTCATTAGGTGATCGATGAAAAAAAAGGCAAGAACGGCAAAAAAAATATCAGCAGAGTAAAGGAATTCTTAGTATGGATCCTGAAATAAGGAATGATCTTCAGTGGGTAGCCAACAATACTGATCAAGACAGGTATGAATGCCCCAATTCTGGGTTTATGTCTTTCTATGATATTTTGAGTAGATTCTCCTGTTGTCTTATCTTATTTAGTTGGATTAAGAATTCAGCTATCAAATCAGATTTTCTAGTCTCCTCACGCTTATATGTTCTTTTGCTTCAAGAAGATTCTGACCTCATCAGCAGAGGATCCCCAACTCTAGAAAGCAGCCATTCTGATACCTGACAATAGGCAGGGTAAAGTCAACCCAAAGACCTAGGTCAGGGGTCAGCAACCTGGGGCTCTGGAGCTGCATGTGGTTCTTTCACCCCTCTGCTGTAGCTCCGGCACTCAAAATATGCATCACAACCACCAATGCGTGACACCCACTGGCATATGATTTATTAAGCTTTTCAACCTCCGGTAGGCCAACAATGGATAAATCCAAGAAAAGAAAAGTTTCAGAGAAGAAAACAGAATGTTTAATTCAACTACGTTTGCTAGTTTTGTGGCCGCTCAAAAAATAGTCAGGCATGGGAAGGGTTTTGTGGCTCCCGATGTTTTCTTTTCTGTGAGAAACAGGTCCAAATGGCTCTTCGAGTGTTTAAGGTTGCAGACCCCTGACCTAGGTTGACCAGTTATCTATTCAAAGCTTTCTACTTGTATGTTTCTATGTTAGAATTGGACAGAGGAAGCTAGTTTATATTAGTTATATTGTTGTCTGTCCAGATCAGTATTTTACATATTGGCTGGCAGCAGCTCTTCATAGTCTTTCTCATCACAGTTTCTCTGGTTCACTGGAATATCTTTTAATCTGGGATATCTGGTAGTCCACATGAGGATGTGTGATACATATACTTTCTCTATGGGGTCTATGACAGCTCATCAGGGCCAACTCGCCACAGCCAACTCACTGTGAGATGACTCACTGCAGGCCAACTCACCATGAGACAAGAACAACTCAACAAGGCACACATTACACTAATATTGAAGAAACAGTGGAATAGAGTCATAAAGAAAAGATGCCAAAGGAAGGACAAAATGAAATGTGAATGACAAAAATTACAACAATTTTTAAATTATTTTAAATAATTAAATTGAATTGTTGAATAGTCCCACTGGGAGTTGGCCGTGGTAAGTTGACTGGTGAGTTGGCTGCAATGAGTTGTCCCATTCCGTTCCCTATGATCCATATAATTCCCTTGATAATTTTGGTTTATGGCCAATAGATGAATGGGAAACAATTTCTGAGGATTATTGCCAAGTTAGACAATTGTTATTTTAAGGGAAAAAAATTACAACTAATCTAGTCTGAATCACCTCCTGTCTTGACTACTGCAGTGTGCTTTACATAGGGCTGCCCTGGAAGCTTCAGTTGATTCAAAATGAGGCAGCCTATATGGTTCTGTACAAGTCTAGATTTGCACATGTGTCAACACTCTTGTGTTCATTGCTGCTTTGCTTTCAGGTCCAATCAAGGTGCTGGTTGTCACCTTTAAAGCCCTGCATAGCTTGGGAACAGGTAATTGGAAGGGCTGTTTTTTCCCACTTACAACCACCTGACCCACCCGAGCAGAGACTTAGTGTATGTCACTGGTTCCCTCCATTAAGGAGGCCCATCTAATGCAGGGGTCTCCAACCTTGGCAACTTTAAGACTTGTGGACTTCAACTCCCAGAATTCCTCAGCCAGCAAGTTGCCAAGGTTGGAGACCCCTGATCTAACGGGCCCAAGAAGGAGCAACTTCTCCATGGTAGTTCCCTCCCTGTGGAACACCATCCCCACAGAGATTAGACTGGCCCCCACCTTGATACTCTTTCAAAAGGCCCTGAAGACATGATTTTGCCCATGGACCTGGGCCCCCTAGGGTAATATAGAGAACATCTGGATTTATTAAGTTTTGTATTGGGGATGTTATTTCTTTGAGTTATCATGAATGAGTGGGTGGCCATGCAATTTTTTTAAAAATAATTAAAATAACATCCCAAATAGAAAACCAGTTTGATGTACTGGTTAAGGCATCAGGCAAGAATCCAGGAGACCATGAGATCTAGTTCCCCCTTAGTCAGAAAGCCAGGTGGATGATCTTAGGTCAGTCACTTTCTTTTACTTCTAGGAATAAGGCAGTGAAGTGGTAAACCACTTCCATGATTTTGGCATGAAAACTGCAGGGACTAATCCACACAGTCTCTAGGAGTCAAGAACGACTTGAAAGCACAAAATATGTCCTGAATAATTTGGGATTACCAAATTATGACTAAGCAGACATTAAGATGGATTGTTGAAACCAGGCCCTGAAGGTTCTCCCTTCTGCATCTGAAATAAGACATGGATTGACGAGAAAAAGAGAAACACCCTCTTTCTCTTTGATTAGTGCAGCCATATTAGACTACAACTCCCATCCTCCCCAGGCAAGTATGAGCATTAATAGTACTTCTGAAATGAGAGGATATTTCAGTTAAGGACTTTGTACTAGCCCAGCATTATTATTTTTTTACTCTTTTGGGTGTTTGCTTATTAGAAGGTAAGGTATTTTTTAAAGACCAGCCTATCAGTTTTGATTCATATAGTTAACTATGACCACAATACAGTTAGTATTTATCACATTAATAATATCAATTATCTCGCTTTTTAGTTAAGACGAAAGTCACTCTACAAGTGCTGAGTCAGATGCCTCCAGAAGTTTTGAAACAGGTTTCTTCCCCAAATCCCCAAAACTTTAACCTTAGACTGTCTACTGTTGATCTCACCCCATTCCTAAGAGGTTTGTAAGGGGCATGCATAAGCACACCAGTGTGTCTATGGTCCCTGTCCTAATGTTTTCTTTTATTCATATCCTTTTCATGTATCTATAATTATGTTTACACTTGTATCTGTCATAAAATACATGCTTGATGAAAAACAAATTTTAAAAAAATTAAATGATATAAAAGAAATAACTATTCTTAGTTCTTTCTTCTTTTCCTCCAATTCATGATCCATTGCCTCTAAGAATGGAGATTCCATTTAACTTGCATGGCTGGCAATTGGTGAGAATGTATTGTTGAGAAGTTCTTACATAAAAGCTCATGCAACTGGAGTCCCAATCATTCTTATACAGAACTTGAAATCGGACTATTAAAAAAAAACCTTACAAAATTACATTGCAACTTAGCCAGACAGCATAATTTTCTCATTAAGCAGAAAGTATCCATAATCTGAATATTCAGTCTTTAGTGTCAGACATCAGGATTCTGGATCTGGTCAGAACGGTAGAATGAGATCCTACATTTCCAACAGTTCTATTTATTTGGACACCTGCTTATTCAGACATGTTAATCTTCACCCTCCACAAGTCATTCTGACCAAAGAAGGCTTAAAGAAATGCACTCTCTCCAGTTGTGTGTTGACTCCCTTGTCGGTCGCCAGGTGGCAGAGAGAGTCTATTGTGTTGTGATTGGTACAATGCAGCGCATCAGTGTTCCTTCACTGCATCCTCTTCATGGTTGTATAGGAGTGTAGAGAGCACCGCTTCACTCAGAGCGGTGCTGCTTTGAATCTTGCTGACCTGGGCTCCCTATGCCAGTTCAGACAGAGTAATGAAATTCCACCCTCTTGGCTCCGACAACAAAGGTATTTCTATGAGCCCATCGGATGGTCTGACCACACAGCAGCTGCAGCTTTCTTTTTCTTCTCTTCTTCCATAATCTGGGGCTGTCATGGCGACTCCCAACAATATTACTGCCACAAACTGCAGCTGGTGGCCCATTTCAGCACTGGAGAATGATGCAGGCAAATCCATGGAGGTTGAGGAGAATCAGGATCCGACACACCCTGCCTTCAGGTCCAAGGACAGGCTGGTTCTGTATCACTGGACCCAATCCTTCAGCTCACAGAAGGTAAAATGTTTTGCTGGACTGAAGAAGGGCTTGCTAGCCTAATACGATTCCCTTCACATTCTAGGGTGTTAAGATTATGAGGCTGGGGCAGGGTGGGATGGGGGGAAGCTGGTTGTTGTTGTTGTTTCCTGGGGGAACAGTTGAAGCAAATGTCTACGTTTGGTCTCTGTGTTTTTACCATTGCAACAATATTTGCCAAATGTGGGTGGAAGGGAGCGAATGTGTCTTTGTCTGATTTGCAGGTCAGATTTCCATGATGTATTTGGAGAAGCTTTTGTTGGTCAGCTTGTTTGTTTAGGCTCCTGAATGAATGGGAAGAGAGAGAACAGCATAGAAAAATGAATAATTTGCAGGTAAAGGAATGGAGGCAGGCAGGTTAGGGCTGGAGATTCTGTATTTATTTGTGAAAGGGTCACACTATCCCCCAACCAACTCTTTACTTCTGACACTGCAGTACTTGTAAGTGCCAGCCTTTTTCTTGGACCCAAAAGCAAAATCTGCTCTTGGAGCTATTCTGTTCAGCTATTCTTTTGTTACAAATGTTGAAACTAGAAGCATTTGCCTTTGGGAATCCTGACCTTTATTTTGCATAGCCATGCGTATCCGGCATACTGCAGCCATTTCACTGGGATTTGTAATATATCGGAGCTGCATAAATATATTTATGCAAAGGGGCAGTTTTGTCCAAATATGAGGTTGCTCCTTTCCTCCTACAATAGGTTCGTGATTTGGAGGGAAGGGGCCAGCGGGCACCAGAGAAACGTTTGGACCCGTGATTTGTAAGGACTGTTTTGTACTTCCTGCACTTCAAAAACAACCTAGGTGTTGTCTTCTTTTATCTCAGAGGATTTTGCCTCTTTTTCGTACGTTATAAAACATCTTCGTTCAAAGATTTTCTTAAGGTCTTTGTCTCTGTGTCTGGGAAGGAAACGGTTAAGGAGCTACTCATACATGCTTTTCTACAACTAATGTAGAATTAGCCCCACCTCTGTCAGAATTGATGGGGCTCCAGAGACAGCAGACTGAACAATTAAAGAGACAGTACTAAACAGGCACCACTGATTTCTGACAGGCCTTCCTCTACACACACACACACACGCACACACACACACACACACACACACACACACAGGTAGGGATGATACATATGTGCATCTCTGTGTGTGTTTCTTTGTAGTTTTTTTTAATTGCTTGCCAAGAATTCTCTCTGTTCTGAAAAGCAGATGTTGAGTTCCTGATGCAATCTTGGATTATGCTGCATAAACATGATATATGTAGTATATAATATGGATTCAGACTGTGTTTCAGATTAGAGTTCTCTTTATTTAATTGCATGAACAACATTACAAGAAAAGAAGTCCTATTCTTTTAACAGCCTATGAGTGCAAATGTTACATCCTGGAAGAATGGGAACATTTGAAGATCTTTCTTTGTCATTCCCCCACCCACCCTTCACCCCTTCAGGGTGTCTGCTAATGAAAGCAGCAGATCATGTATGGGGGCTGCAGACAGATATCTGAAAAAAGCTATGAAATAATAAATCCCACAAAACTCCTTCCTTGTTTCAGTACCATGGCCAGGGCAAAAAAAAATGAAGTTTTCAGTACTTAAAATGATGCGCTCTAACAAATTTTTAAAAACCTTTCTGTAGAAACAATCAATACATGCAGAAAGAGAGATGGGGGGAGGAGGAGGGAGGGAGGAAGAATGGGGGGAAGGAGAGAGAAAGAGAATATGTTTGTATAGCTGATTCCCTATAGATTGTTCCCACATATTGCAGCTGAATTTTTGTCTCAAAAACGTTTGGTTTCTACAACCTCCAAACTCAATGCCTGTGACAAAAAATAAGCTATTCCAATGATTTTAGAACCATAATATTTATTTAAACATTTTATACTTTGTGGGTGTACAATCTAACTTGTGGAATATATATTTTGGAGTTAAAGAACTTGAAAAGAAATATGGCTACAAATAATGACCTAGTTTTGTACAGGAATTATTAAAAAAAAAAAAAAAAGAAAGACTTGAGCTTTGTCATCTGAAAAGCCCCAACACTGTTACATGCCAAAAACATTTAGCAAGCTTTCAGGGAATTCCAGTAAATTTAGAACCTGGATTTAAAAACAAGAAATTTGGTTTCATGGTTTCAGTTTCTTTTCATAGTAAATGCCACATTCATAAGTAAACAAGATGGGGTGTGCTGTGTTCAGGTACATAGTGCAAAGCTATAGAGAAACGGGCCAAGGAATATTTCCTGTGTCCACATATATAAGAACAAGGAATAGTGGGTGTAAGTTAGAGTTACCTAGATTGTCTTTAAATATAAGGAAAAACTTTCTGATAGTAATATCTCTATAACAGTGTAATAGTCTGCTATGGAGGCTGTGGGTTCTCCATCTCTGGAGATTTTAAAGTAGAACTTGGCCAGTCACCTCTTATGCCTGGTTTAATTGATTTTCCTATATATGCCTTATGAGCCCTTCCAACCCTACTATGTTATGATTCTATAGGAGCTGTGCTGTACCAGAACAAAACATTATCCTATACAACAGTTTGCAACAACCAGACGCCAATCAGTAACTCCCAAAGATAATGCAACTACAACAGTACCACATTTGTTTATATTCCCTGACAATGGATATTGAAACTTTTAGTGCCCTCCATATGAAAAGTATATAATTATTATCACCAGCATCTATTTACCCCGTGTTCCTCGTCCCTTTAAAGCCATCCAAATTAGTGTCTATCCTTATATCTTGTGCTACGGAATTCCATATTTTAATTATGAATTGTGCAAAGAAACCATTCCCTTTTGTCTTTCCTGAAATTCCCATTATCTAACTTCATTGCATGATAGTGACAATAGTTACATATTTCCTTTCCTCTGCCAGTTCAATGGAACCTAGACAGTGTGTGGGATTTTACCTCCCAAAGAATCCACCTCCCCAAAGCAGGTTAGGTTGAGAAAAAGCAACTGGCCCAAAGTCAGTCATATCCTTCTATGGGGCAAGCCCAATGTCCCAATCCACATCTGAAACAATATTCCATTGCTGGATGCCTTATGCACTAGGAAAGAATCTAATTGTTCTCTCTACATAAGTGTTTCTCAACCTTGGCAACTTTAAGATGTGTGGACTTCAACTACCAGAATTGGAAATGAGAGTTGAAATCTACACGTATTGAAGTTGTTAAGGTTCAGAAACATTGCTCTACATCATACATAAGTTTATAAATCTATATTGTTAACCCAGTGGTGAAATCCAATTTTTTTTTACTACCGGTTCTATGCGCATGGCTTGGTGGGCATGGCAGGGGAAGGATACTGCAAAATCTCCATTCCCACCCTACTCCAGGGGAAGGATATTGCAAAATCTCCATTCCCACCCTACTCTGGGGCCAGCCAGAGGTGGTATTTGCTGGTTCTCCGAACTACTCAAAATTTCCGCTACCGGTTCTCCAGAACCTGTCAGAACGTGCTGGATTTCACCCCTGTGTTAGCCCCTTGAGGCAGACCAGATCAGGAAACAAACTCTGAAAGTACTACAAAAATTCTATTGTTGTAGGAAACCTGGCAGAGATTCTCTTTATTTCCCTCTTATACTGAAGAGAGTCAAAGGCAAGCTATTCCCAAGCATCTTCCTCAGCTCTCCTGTCTTTTCAGGCTAATTAGATGTCTTTGTAGTGGCTGACATATATTCTCTTCAAGGCTATCTCCATACTCCACTGTACCTTTTATGTCTTCTTAACTTGCCTTTCTTCTTGATTGAAAAAAATCTTCAAATTGTAACATTTCTTCACAAAAGTCCCAAACACTGTAACTTTTCTCCACAGAATTCTCTAATCTTTTAACTATTTTGCTAGTGATTTATTTATTTATTTATTTATTTATTTATTTATTTATTTATTTATTTATTTATTTATTTATTCTCCATGAATAGAATAAAATAGATTAGAATTTTTTATTGGCCAAGTGTGATTGGACACACAAGGAATTTGTCTTGGTGCATACGCTCTCAGTGTACATAAAAGAAAAGAAACGTTTATCAAGAACGTATTTGGTTCCATCCTCTGAAACTTCTTCAGTCTTACAATATCATTGCTGAGAGGCAATTACAGAATACTAGTATGTTGTGTATTGTCTTTGTAGATTTATAGGCTTTACAGTACAGTTGCTGCTGTAGTGGTCTCCAGTGTGGGATTTACATTTATCAAAGTAGCCTAATACTATTATCTAGGAACACATCAAGATAGGTTCCTTGGCCATTTTCTGCTAGCCATTTCATGACTCACTGATATCTATAGATAGGACTTCTTACCCCAATGTGCATCAGTTTATTTTGCTTCAATTGCATTGACTTTAAAATGTTGATGTCTGTTCTTCTTGTTAAAGTATTCTTGTTGGTCCATGTTTTTGTTTTTTTTTGGATATACATCAATATGATTATATGAACAGTGAGGCACCTGGGTATCATTCCTGTTGGTCCATGTTTTAATCACCCTAAAATAATCATTGTGTACACCTGACAAAGATGTTTCCAGGACACATCCTTGTGGATCCCAGTATTAGTATCTTTCCAGTTAAAAAATTATTTATTCCTACTCTCTGTTTTGTAATCAGGAGACATTCTCTCCTTTTACTCCATGAAGTTACATTTGTTTAGATGAAGCCTTTGAACACTTTAGTGGAAATACTCAAACTGCCATATAAAGGAGTTGTGAGACAGGGCTTATGTTTACAGAGATCATGTTAATTTTGCTTTGGCAAAATTTATCTCACTTGTTTGAAAAAGGCTTTCGACCAAGTCACCCAGAACAGAAATTAAGCTGTATGTTCCAAAATCTCCCAGAGATCTTTTTAAAATAGTCATCTTACAATATTTGAGATTTCTGATACAGCACCATATTGTTGAAGATCGGCAATTTCATATTAGAGTTCCTTTAGAACTCTTAAATGGTTCATCTGGACTTGTTGTTCAGTGGTGAACAGGCAGTGAGTATAG